TGATCACGTGATCAAAATTCAGACGGTTAGCAACTGACTCATATTTATGACGATTGCTGTGTCCAGGGGCCACGTAACCCCCTTTTGCGACCTTCCGACAAGCAATGGGCAAGCCGGATCCACTTAACAACGGTGTTACTAATTTAATAACGGCAGTTGTTAATGTGGGAAGAAAAATGGGGCAAAGCTCAGCATATGCCTCACTGAGCAACGTAAATGTGGGGGGCGCCTTCGTGGCCGTAAGTGGAGGACTACCTGTCCTGAATATTATTCTCAATTCGGCTTGTCTCTGCATCCTCCCCCAAATTTGGTACCTTGTAACCTTGCAATGCTTCCTGGTGGCCGGTGCCGGCAACATGAAGCTGGATTTTTTCCTTGCTGTTGGTCTCGTATTCACACAGGTTGCAATGAAGGTGTAGGGGCGGTCCCAGGGGCAGCTCCACCCCCAGGTGCGCGGCCAAGCTGCCCCCTTCCCGCAGGTGAGCGGCCAGCTGGTACTTCAAGGCGTGCTTGTCGGTCTTCAGGTGAAGCTGGAAGTTGGCTTTCAGTTGGGTGCCGTAAGCGCAGAGCCGGCAACGGTGCAGGTCGCCAGAGATTTCTTTCCATTCCATCTCCGGCAGGGAGCGCGGGGTGGAGGCGTGCCGGAGGAGGCTATCCAGACTGTCAGTGCTGAAGACTTGGCACACCAGACAGCTGAACAATCTCTGGGGGGCCAGTAGGTCAGGTCCAGATTGGGCTGGTGGCGAGGAGGGGGGAGCAGGTTCAGGAGAGAGAGAGGCGGGGGCTGCGGAGACGAGAAACAAAGCGGGCACGTCAATTTTGCGTCTCTATAGGGCAGCGTTTCCCAACCACAGGTACTTTCATAAGGGGGGGACTTCAACTCCCAGAATTCCCCAGCCAGCTGGCTGAGGAATTCTGGGAGTTGGTCCACCCTTCTGAACGTTCCTGCGGTTGGGAAACACCGCGATGAAAAGAATGAGAATGCCGTATTGCAGACTAACTCTGCCCATTGTCAGCTGTTCGATCCTGACCGGCTCGAGGTCGACTCAGCCTTCTGTCCTTCTGAGGTCATTTAAAAGGAGCACCCAGATTGTTTGGGGGGGGGGCAATCCCCAAATCTTGAGGGTTGTGACGTGGTATAGGAGGGCTATTGTTAAATGAGGAATTGAGGTTGGCGCCACGATATGGAAAAGAAACTTGGATTTTTAAGACACAGCGGTGCACAAGACATGATAACCATGGATGGAAGGGAGAGAGAGACAAAATCTAGATGCCAGGGGGAGATCTTGAAGAAATGGTCAGGGGTGGGATCCTACCAGTTTAACAACCAGTTTGCTGTGCGGCCGTGCGCAGATTACAGAGAAATCACCTTCCGCATTACTGCTGGGGAGGAAAACAGTGGAGGCACCGCAATCCACTGTGCCGCGCCACTCAGCTGAGCTTCAGAAAAGGGATTATAGGTGAGTATAGCACAGGGACGGGACGGCGGACCCAGCTGAAAGTCAGCGTGAACCGGTTCGCTCCCAGCTGAGAGTCAGAGCTAGCGGTTTGGCTGAACGGGTCCGAACCGGTCGAATCCCACCCCTGGAAATGGTGGACCATAGATATGGATGAAGAACAACAGGACAGGAACAAAGTCAAGCTTGGGGTCCTTGAAGGCCATACTGACACCAAGAATGGAAAGTCCTTCTTACCTGCTCCCAATGTAGCCATCTTCCGCCCCGACGTGCTCAGATGTTGGAAGCCTCCATTGAGCAAGAGTTGAGGTTGTTCCATGGGCTTGTCTGCCCGCAGAGGTGGGTTGCTCCCCGCGTGGACCTGGTGGGGATGCGAGTGGTGGCCATGGCCCAGAGCCTGTGCCCCATAGAACGGGAACAGCTCGGGCTGAGCCTTGCCTCCCGGAGGGGTCTGAGGTTGTCCGAGAAGTCCCGGCAAAGTCAACGGCAGCCCTTGATGGAGCAACAGCATGTTCTGCATGTGCTTCTCAGATGTCATGTGGATCCGTAAGTTACGGGAGATGTTGGTCTCGTAACTGCACACCTTGCATTGCCAGGATGACTTGCCCTTCGACTCCTTCTCCTCAGGGGAGGACGGGGAAGGGGCCACCGGAGGAGCCACCGGCGGTCCACTGCCTCCTGTGGCTTGGTAGCCCTGTAGGTTGGCCAGGTGTTTATCGGACTGCATATGGATGCTGAGGTTGCCTTTGGTAGTGGTGGAGTAGTTGCAGGCCTCACAGCGGTAGGGTTTGTAACCGCAGTTGTAGCTCTCGCCACGAGCCAGGCGCGGGTGGGGACCGCCGGTGCTACAATAGGCACAGTGGCTGTTGTTCTCCGGATGTTTCTCCTTCATGTGGACGTCAAGGGTCTGCTGGTACTTATAATGCCAGTTGCATTTGGGACATTTGAGTGTCTTGCAGGAGTTGCGCGAGTGCAGCAGTGACATGTGGCCCGACAAAGTCAACCCCGAGTACGCCATCGCCGTAAAATCTTCCCCGAAGCTCAACGTGGGTCCTCCTCCACCGTTGTGGCCATTGCTCCCGAGTCCATTGTTGACCTCAAACCCAGTCGCCATCACTTCGTTGGCCATTCCTACACTGCTCAGGCTGTCCGCCAAGTCAGCTGCGCTGATATCGCGGCCCGACCCACCGCACGTCCGCTGGGTATCATTGGGAACGCTGTCGGCTTTGGGAACAGACTCGGCCCTGCTGATTTCAGCCACTAAGTCCACACAAGGGACCTCGTGCATCAGTCTTTCCTTCAGGATCTTGTTGGTGGTCCTTTCCTTGTTGACGTCCTCCTGGGGTGGCCCCATGTGATCAGGATATGGGCCCTTGGTCAGTGGTGTTTCTGAGAGGGGGATGTTAGCAGCCAAGGGTGCACTTGATGTATCTGGTGAACTTTGGTCTGGAAGCAGTTCCTTCTCTTTCTTCTTTTCATCCACTTGTGCTACCTCTTCCTCCTCCTCCTCTTCCTCCTCCTCCTTCTCCTTCTCCACTTCTGGTTTCTCCTCCATGGAACCATTTGCCCAGTGCGTGCCGCCGACCCTTGAATCTTTGGTATCTGATGGCTCGCATCGTCTTTCTGGGCTTCTCTTCTTGTTCTCATTTTCCTCCTCTTCTTCTTCCTCCTTCTCCTCCTCCTCCTCCTCTTTTACATTCACCCATCTGCTACACATTCTGGCATTGAGGTCTGCCTCGGTGGTGGGGTTATTTGGTTCTAGGAAGCCCAGGTCGGTGCCCTGGAATACAGCCGAAGCCCCTCCATCCAAGGCCTGGCGTTTCTCGTTGCTGAGCTGGACGCCGTGTGCCGTATGGGCATGAGATGCCAAGGTAGGGCCCTGGTTGAATGAGAGGCGGCATGTCAGGCAGAGCCACACGGGACCCCCTGGCATCAGGTTGTCTTGGCCACGGGTGGCTTCCTCATTCTCCACGGGGACGGTGGGGACATCTTTGGATTTGGTGACAGCGTTTTTGGCAGGCGTACTTTGAGCTGGGGCCCCGGCCAGTCGGTAACTATAGAAGGCGCCTTGAGGGGTCACCTCGCCTGGCGCTGAGGTATTCTGGGACATTTGGTCAACAGACATAAAGCCTTGGTTAGGACCTCCACTGTCCTGGATGTGGAGAATGGACACTTGAGGAGTGGCGGTGACGGGGGAGCCCTTTGGTAAGAGAACGTGGCCGCTAGCGAGGAGGTACGCCGAACCATCGGCGGCAAAGAAGAGCCGGGCCTCGCAACCACTGTCCTCGTCTCTTTGTTCCTCCAGCTGGACCCCATCTTCGGCCAGCGGCGGGCCTCGCGGGAAAGAGGGCAGATTTGACAAGGACAGGCTGGGGTCCGCTTGGAGCTGTGGGGTAGACGAGACGGCGGCAGGGAACTTGGCCAAGCCAAGCGCGGCAGCTTGGCTGCTGGCACAGGGTCTCATGACATCATCGGGATGGGACGAGGGGGAAGAGGGAGGGTCCCGGAGTGGGGGTTCTTTGGTGGGTGGCAAGGCAGGAGAGCCCTGAGCAGGCCGAACCGCGGCCCGGTCATCCTGTCCGTCTGCCGGGGGGACAGAAGCGGAGGAGTGGGAGGAGGAAGAGGAGGAGGAGGAGGAGTTAGAGGGAGCATCCATGGCGGTGCAGGCGGGAGGAGCACGGAGGGATCATCTCAGCACAGGAGCCGAGACCCTGCAGGAAAAACAAGAGAAGACAAACATGTGTGAAATTTGACCAGTTCTATCCAGTTCGGGCAAACTGATTGTAGCGGTGGAGGCTCCGTCCACCCATACAGACATCATCATGTCTCATTTTTGACACTCTGCACATGCGTGGAAGGTCCTGCGCGGTGGTGGCGCCAATGGTGGGTTACGACCAGTACGCCCTGGTACGGGCGTACCGGTGCCTTCTGGAAGCACCATGTACCGTTCTGGTACAATGCTCCGGAGGGCCCACCCGTCCGCCCACCCTCCTTACCTGTATTTGACCCAACTGGGCCATTTGCGCACACACTCGGAGCATACGGTGCCTGCGTGATGCTCCGCTGAGCAGCTGGAGCGTCACGGGTGGTGGGTGCCAGCACGCATGCACATGGTGGATGCCTGGCCCCATCGCAGTGTACCAGTTGCGACAGAATCCAAAACCCACCACTGAGTGGCTCACACTTGCGAATTGGTAGCGAAAGTAAGTTAATTTCGCCCTTGATGTGAATCCCATCTTACCACAAGAGGACCAAATGGACCATTAATGCACACTTAAGTGATCTGGCTAACGTGGCTTGCAATCGATCCACGGATCGCAGGAATGTTAGGAAGGGTTACAGACAATCCACAACTTACAACCATTCGTCTCATGACCGTCCAAAGTTACAACGGCCCTGAAAAAAAGAGCCTTTGGGTCATTTTTTCACACTTACGACCGCCACAGCATCCCTATGGTCACAGGATCAAAATTTGGATGCTTGGCAACCGACTCATACTTACGACAGTCGCAGTGTCCCGGGGTCTCATGATCCCGTTTTGTGATCTGCTCACAAGCGAAGTCAATGGGAAAGCCAGATTCACTTAACAACGGGATGCTAACTTAACAACCGCACTGATTCGCTTAACAACCGCAGCAAAATCAGACAAGGCTCTCATTACATCCGCCTTGCTTAGTAACGGATCTTCCAGTAGAGGTAGTCCTCGATTTACAACACTTCAATTAGGGACTCTTTGAACTTGCACTGAAAAAAGGGACTTATGACCATTTTTCACTCTTACGACCGTTGCAGCATCCCCAGGGTCATATGATCCAAATTCAGATGCTCAGCAACTGACTTGTATTCACGACAGTTGCAATGTCACATGATCCCCTTTTGCGGCCTTCCGACAAGCAAAGTCCACAGGGAAATCAGAGTCACCTAAAAACCAAGAAACTAATTTAACAATTGCACTGATTCACTTAACAACCGTGGCAATTTGTAAAACCAGACACGGCTCGCATCCCAACCATATATCTCAGCGCTGGCTAACCGTTTTGTTGTCGTCTGCCGAAAGCGGGCACGCTCGCACCCATAATGCAATGCGTGTGCACTCCCCCCTGCGCATGGGTTCTGACCCAAAACCCCGCACCCCGTTTTGCGCCTAGTAGGCCTCCCTGCATCCTCCTGGGACCAAAAGCGGGCCATGAGGGGGGGTGGCACCACATGCACACAGACACCCCCTCAGCCCACCGTTTTGGCCTTGTAGGCCTCCCTGCATCCTCCTGGGACCAAAAGCGGGCCATGAGGGGGGGTGGCACCACATGCACACAGACACCCCCTCAGCCCACCGTTTTGGCCTTGTAGGCCTCCCTGCAGCCTCCTAGGACCAAAAACAGGCCGTGAAAGTTGGCGCCACACACAGAAACACATCCAGCGTCCCGTTTTGGGCCTAGGCGGCTTCCCTGCAACCTCCTAGGACCAAAAACAGGCCGTGAAAGTTGGCGCCACACACAGAAACACATCCAGCGTCCCGTTTTGGGCCTAGGCGGCTTCCCTGCAACCTCCTAGGACCAAAAACAGGCCGTGAAAGTTGGCGCCACACACAGAAACAC